GCATATTGATATCAAATATCATTATGTGCGAGAGCTGTGTGCAAAAAGGACCATCGGATTGGAAGGCTGCCGGTCTGAATTGATGGTAGCTGATGCATTGACCAAGGTGCCTTCGTGAAGCACCGGAGCCACATGATGAAACACCGCTGTTACCGATGTGCTGTCGTGTCTATATCTCTATGTCGTTGTGTCTAGTTTGTGGGTGAGATATGAGTCGAATGGTTTCGAATGACTAAGTCTTCCGCCCACGGGGGGGGTGTAGAAAATCATATTGTCAGATTTGGATGATGTTGGAGAATTGGACTTGGTATCATCATCAGTATAAGCAACACTCCTACTCACTGGTGAGGCCAGAGACAGAAGACGGTCAGCATCAGTTCAACTGAAGCTGGGTATATAGCCGCCTCTGAGTCAACACGTGACATAGTATGTGTAAGAAACATACAAAATGCACTAGCCTACTACTCCATTTCTTACCCTACCCACGTCCATGTCGATAATCAATCAGCAACTAAGATTGCTTCGGGCAAGTACACGGCTAAGGGCCTCAAACACATTGAGGTTCGTGCTCACTACATTCGTGACTACGCAAATACTTCGCCTACTAACACTCACCCAACCGACGCAAAAATCTTAGTTAGGTTTCCGGGGGGGGGTCTCGGGTCTAGTCAACCTCTCTCTTAGAATATGTAAACCCAAAAAGTTTTTCTTGGGGCCTACCTCACGGTAGTACATATCACCATGTGCAACTATACTCACAATTCCATCCACGCTTATTTGAGTACATGTTCGACACTTTTCCAAATAACCGACATCCAATCCTGTTCAGAAGTTTATAGGTCCCAATTCGATATGAAGCTTCTCGCCGTAAGTGGTGTTGATTGACTCCTGTGCGACTACATTGGCGTGTAACTTTGCTTTGATACGGGTCTTATAGTGCTTTTCATATTCGAGGCTGGTCCTGGCGTGTATGATAGATGCGGTGAGTTGTGTTGAGTCACGGACGGCCATGTGTAGGAGACCCATGAGAGGTTGTATATCAATGAAGGTCTATCGACGACTGTAGTTATTAGGAATCTTAATTCTTGATGAAAAGTAATGATTGCTTTTAAAGACGCAATAATTCCACGGCTGTCCACCATTTCGCACATGGTCTGAGTGAATGACCATGGATGGGTATAGTGACATGGTGAGTTCTTAAATGCCAATCTAAAATGGGTTGTCAAAGACGTTGAAGCAGTCGTTTCCCGTTAAATTTACTAGCGCATACATATATTGGTGGATTCCAAATTAAAGGTGTCATTGCTTTCTGTCTGTCATTCGTCAGGGTTAAGCTGCTAAGCAATGGTGTTCACTTAGCGGGAAGGATCATATATAAGCGGTATATTGCGCTGTTTGGCAAGGTGTATAAGTGGCTTTATGACTCACATGACCGTTGTTTCTGCAAAATTCATTCGATTTTTAGGGTTTGGGGTTTTAGGGTTTTAGGGTTTAGGGTTTAGGGTTTAGGGTTTAGTTTTAAGAATGTTTATTAACTTGGCAGTCTTAAGTCAACAAAGTCATAGCTTCATTTTAAGAACTAATTCACGCGTGCTGTCGTGGGGTACAGTGTACAATGGGGTTCAATTCTCCACACGCGTTTTCAGACAAAGAACGTGTAAATCCGATCTCGCAGTCACTTGTCAAGAGTGCAATAGGCCGTGCGTAAACTCTCGTAATGGTCTATCCTTGACTTGAGAGGCTCGGGGGCCTGTCCGGGGCTAAATCCGGCAAAAGCCTTTCAGGCTTAAACTGAATCGTCGGGGGATAGTTAATTCGGCTCGGAGCAGTATCCAGAAGTGGCCTTAGGGAAACGGAAGTTACTGCAGTGATGTCTGAATTGGCTAGCTGGGTAGTCAGCGGAGAACCTTCGGTCCGGGGATCGTCACCGGGCATCCTGCGTCTACGGACAATGGTCTGCGTCTACGGACAATGGTAAGTCATGCGATCCGGCAGTGTGGGCATAAGGGCGTTCTTCGTGTTCGCCTGTGGGGTATCAGGCATAGGTGCGTTTTCGCACTTATGTCCGATGCCCCTGCCCTTTTCCCTTCGGGGCACGGTTGAGAGCTTACCAGGGCGGCTTCGGCCGCCGAAAAGCTTTAGGATATACTCGCCTCTTGTCGTCCTTTTTCTTTTCTTGTTCCAAGGTACCGAACTGGTGCCTTCTTCGTACTTAAGCTTTTCCCCTTTGTACTTGTAATCTAATTCTTCTTCCTTACTATGACAGGTTACACTATAGTCTGCAGCTGGCATCGTCGTGAGACTCGGAATCAACACGTGGTGGCTTGTCCAACTGGTATCAGTGATTTCGTCGCAGACTTTCCCCTTGGTGCAGAATAAACATCTACACTTTCGGGCGGTCACCTGCCGGCAGGTCGAATTGTAAACACTTTCCCTCATTGCGATACCTCTAAGCCACATAGTGGTAAAACCCACAGGCCACAGAGTCAGACTATTGTCGAAGAAATAAATTTAAATAAAAAAATTTACCGAGCTCAGCTCACGCCGCCCTGCCGCGATATGTCATGTTTCATAAGTTATTTGCTTTTTATTTTAATTTTAAATTAGCTTCTACTCATTGGTGTAGAGAAAATCCGAACATAAATCCGAACATAAACCCGCACCCGTTAAGACAGGGCTTAATTGTACTCCACAAACTGGCGTGCTAGAAGCAAACCGCAAAAGCGAAGAAGCCGTATGCGCTGGTATGAAGTTTCGGGAATACAGTGCCTGTTATGATGGCTGCTCCTTGGATCAGTGCTGAGTTGTACCGCTCGTAGAGCGGCTTCAACGCGGCATGTCAAATAGGTGGAGTCCATGCAATGATGTTCAGACCGTACGTAAGTGGCCGTTGAAAGAATGAATGTTTTGAATATTTTCAATCGCGATTTCGCAGATGGCGCCAGCTGATTCCATGAAACCCAAACGCCCGGAAGGATATTATAGCCTGGAGTAATGCTGCCACGAGGTGGTCCACGTCCTTTACAAAGTCGATACATGGTATGTCCTGGGACAGTTGAAATTCTAAGTATTTGGAAGGCTGTGGATATATGTCAGAGAGCTCCGCCGCCATGGGCATGAGAGGGATCAGTAGGTGTCTGTTGAGAATGTTCGCATTTGAGGTACATACTAGCGTTGGTGTGATGAGATGTAGTCTGATACGGAGAGGAGGTACCGCATGCAGCACACTCGATGATATCTTTCGGGGTTTAAGGATTAATCAGTGAAAGTTTCCCACGATACACCATCCGTGTGGGAACATTCTTGAACAATGCACGGAGACAACTTAACCAGTTCTCTGGCACTCCAGCGTGTCGTAACAGCATCCACATGCGCGGAAGGACCACTTTATCGTATGCTTTGGTGATGTCAAGACATACATCGTGCCAGGCAGCCTCAGATTGTGTCTCAGACTCCATCGCGGCCAGGGCATGAGTATAACAGGAGTAGCGTGATTTGAATCCAGCTTGAGTTACATGTGTGGTTGATCTGGGCTGATTTGTTATCTATCAGCTATAGGAATCACTTTTCAAAACCGCGTAGAACAGTCTGCGTTAATGTTTTCGGTCGGAACTCGGCAGGAGATGCAATATCCGTGTCTGCTTTCTTCGGATGGGCTGCCAAGAGAGTTCAGTTGAGGGCGGGAATGTACCAGCAATTAAAAAGGCGGATAATGCTCTCAGCCAAGATCATGATAAGTGGGCTGTCAGGGTCCGGACGTCCCTTCGTCGGGGGATCAGTTGATCGTTCTACTGCGGCCTTGAGGAGAAGGATATGAGTACCATCCGGACCGGGACTCTTGTTTGGATAGCGCAGTATTGCCTCCAACACCATATCCGAGTGAATGGCTACATTTGTTGGAGTTGGTACTATGTCTGGTAGTTATCCGTCAATGCAACGCCCGATCAGGACATCCGGTATACAAGGTTGACGCAGTGATCGACGTTGATGTGCGATATCGTTGTACATCTGGATGTTCAGATCGCGGACAGAACGTGTGATTCGGCAATCGTTGTACACACGGTTTGCCAGTGTCGTAATAGTATCCTCCAAAAAATTACAGGGTTCGCTGCGTAGCGCCAAATTCGATCTGATATACGCTCCAATCCGTCGGACGGTACATGTATTGTCAGGTATGACCCGTAGCAGATGTTGATGCTCCCGGATCTCAGCCTGAAACACCAGGGTGCGGTCCTTGTCGTGTAAATGATGCAGCCGGTGGCGATACCGGTTGTAGCCATGATATGGAAGACTTTGGTGCTGGGGCGGTGATTGAGACGGAGTCGTTCGCCGAAGACGGAGTACTCGTTCATTTGGGACCACCCTAAGATAGAGCCCAAATTTGTGGTCCTCGTAGATACCGTGATCCACAAGAAGGCATGTTTGAAGAGAGACTGGTGTTGTTGGTATGTGGTACGCGTGCTTTGCACCGGTAGACCTTCCCGTATGGAGGTATTGCATACACCAGGCACCGAGAGTAGTGGCCTCTACCGTCTTTCTAAGGGGTTCATGGATCGTGGATGTGTGACCATACTGTCTAGCTTTGAAAATAAAATCACCTCAAACGACATCTGGTTGGAAGTTGCCGATATCAGGAGGATTATGGGTGATGCTTGGAAAATATTCCAATACCACAGTGCGGAGGATATAGGGGGCTGTGTCGTGCAGTGTGATGTAATATATGATGCTTCGTGAAAGGATGTATATGATCTAAGAAAGTAGCATTATGCCAGGTTTCAACCACACACATAACATCAACCTGATCCAAAATCGATATAATATTTAAAGACATATCTGATTTAGTAGGAGTATCCACATGTTGAGACCTCGAGGGTTCAGAAGCGTCATCCACACAGGTCCGAACATTGTTCGACCTCTGACAAGTTGATAACGGGTTCTGTATTGTTGATTTCCATGTCGTCATCTGCTTCACGTGCTTTCAGCTGACCTGCCTTCTCCAAGAGTGGGGAAACCACTGATGTGGTCGTTGGGTTGCGTGCAGAGTCATGGGTTGTGGGTTTGCCACGCTTTGATTGAAATATCTTTTCAATGCGATCGGATGTAGATTTGAGGATTTCGGTATCTACTGAGTTCGTCAAAGGATTCAGGAGTAGATCAAAGCTGTTGCCGATATTCTCAGGTGCTAAGCCTGCACCGTATCGGTCCTCGCGCTTGGTTCGAAGACAATGTATGACCCGCAGTGACGTGCCCGAAGATCAAGAGTGTGGTGGGAATCTATGTAAGTCGATAAACTATTTAAGCGGCCTTTTATTAGCACATATTGTTCGTGTACACATACATAAACTCTGTGTACAGAGTGCTATACAGAGCACCATTTTAGCAAGATTCAAGTTTCATAGAATTAAAATACTAAACCAAGCATCGAAATATATTGATATGTGTTGGCCCCTCGATATAAGCGTCGTATAATGAATTTGAGTGTATAAATGTGCACATATATCAAAATTTCAAAACCGATCATTATATCACAATATATAGCCAACACCGTTCACATATGTGATCCAGTACTATAGTTTGTGCAGTATTTTCATGCCTCTATATGAAAAATTATACTTCCATAGTACAAATGTTCAATGCGTCGAGCTCAACCGTTGGTGTATTCACAACCTAATATTTTAGTATAGCACGCGGGATATACAATATTTAACATTGTACCGGATGTTGTATATTTTTAAAAGATTTGTCCAAGTGTTAGTGAGAGTGCGAAAGTGACGCCTTCACAGTTCACTCTTCAGATGCAGACCGGGCATCAGGTAGCGCCTATTAATTATCCCTATGTATACTTACATGACTTCTATTAGTACACGACTTTTTCAAGTAATAATGCAATATTTTACTATCAACATGTATCGTGTTCTATAAAAGTGTACCAGTTCCTGGTCGAATCCCAGCAAAAAGATCCTCTTCATTTCTACATAAAGAATAGACGTAGCTTCAAGACCAACACTACTGTTTTACTGCATAATCTCAAGTACAATAGTTACCATATTCAGACATAGCCTTCTGAAATTATACACAGAAGACTATGATCCCGATTTATTTACTATTTGGTCAACACGAATAAAATATTAGTGGACATTGCGAATCGGCTACATCATCGTAAATGAGTTATCGTAGGCATTGTAAGTTTACAAACTGTATAGGCGGCATTTACGCTTTGTGTCTACGAAATAAGCTCGATATGTCAATCAATAGCAAAGAAATAGAAAATGACCGTCTAATGCTGGTTCCAGCGTATGCGACACACGAAGGCCATATACTAAAACCTTATTAAGTAGTCGACACACCATCATCTGCCTTGAAGTCCTTACTATTCCTTCATCATCTGCCTCGAGGTCCTTACCATCACCTCCTCATGTACATTAAAGCCCTTACCATGAACTAGTTATCTGCCTTAAGGTTCTTAATCTGTCATAAAGTCACTACTATCGTCCCAGCATCTGCCTTAAATACCTTACTTTCATCTCATCATCTGCCTTAAAGTCCGTGATATCACTTCATCATCTGCCTTAAAGTCTTTGCTATCACCTCATCGACTGCCTTAAGGCCCTTACTATTTCTTCATCAAATGCCTTAAGGATCTTGCTATCATACCACTTGGCTTGAAGTCCTTACTATCGCAGCATTTGTCGTAAAGTCCTTACTAACACCTTATCATCTACCTCAAAGTCTTTACTATCACCTTATCATCTGCTTTAAAGTCCTTACTATCACATTACTTACTTTGAAGTCCTTACAATTACCTAATTATCTGCCTTAAAGTCCTTACTATCACCTCATCATATGACATACAGTTCTTACCATCACATCACTTGTCTCGAAGTCCTTACAACCACCTACTTATATGCCTTAAAGTCCTTACTATCACCTCATCATATGCCTTAAAGTCATTTCCATCACCTCATCATTTGCCTTAAAGTCCTTACTATCACTTATCGCGCTATACAAATGTACGGCAACTATTTCACTGTTTTCGCGTAGCTAGCTATTATATGTAAACTCGTGCAACACTTTTCGACGTGCTTATAAGTTATAGCTACCTGGTTCTGGAGGCCTCGCCATTTTCGATTTTTGTTATCCCAAAAACTTTTACATTTGATAGACAAATCACAGCACTGCCGCCACTTGCCGCTTGAGCAGCCTAAAACAGGCTGTTTTTACTATGCAGCAGCAAGCACAGTCCTAGACTCAGACTCAGATTCAGATTCAGACACCCGAATTTTAAGTAACGAACAGCAATACGCATATCGGTCGATTCTCGAGCTACATCGCTCGCCGAACCAAATCAACTGCATATGAATAAGTGCGCGGTTTAGCTGATTTATTCCGTTGATAAACAGTAAGTCTTCAGTTTCTTTGATCAGTGCTGGGTGCCTTTGACATGGACACCTTCCACTCGCGAACGCTTGCCGCGTTTTACCGCGTTACTTGGTACTTGAGAGATGCAATTCAGATGCGTAGCTTACGACCTTCTTTTCGAAGGGACTGAACACTTTACGTCCATATACATGACGCCTTGCTCTTGCCACTGCTATAAGTAATTCATCTGACTCATTCACTTTGACTTCGCTGACCCTCTACTACCGCCGTACGGGTGTCGATGTAGTACTGCTTTCGGTCGGCATCTGTTCAAAAACACACACCACATGCGTGGACAGGATTAGTACCAACTACCAAAATTTGATATTTTGGCAATATCTCAGCTTTAAAAACTTATTATGATAGAACGAGCGAGGTTTTAATTCTAATCTCGGCATACAGAATTAGTTCGCACGATATACGAGAGAAAGCATCAACCGCCAAACTTTAAGCGAAGATGTTCCCTCTAGCATACAACATCTGTCTATAAAACCTTGTGCAAACTATACCAACCAACACGCATATAAAATCACAAAGCGGGCGTCAAGAAGGCACTTGCACTCTGCACTCACCAATCACACACAGTGTGTCCAGCCCCTTAATACATTGTTCAAAGTATTTATCCACCCCCAACGCAAGCATAAGCCGTATGCTGGTAAGCAATGTCCACTTCGAATCGGGTTCTAACTCAAGCAATTCACGACACGTGCTCAATTGTTCTTCCAGGGCACTGGTCACGTTGTCAAAATCCTCACCGTTGCCTGGTCAAAATAAGTGAAATTAGTTAAACTAGTTGCTCATTCCATTCGGATAACAAACTTGGAAAAGTGGTAAGTCCGGAAAATGCCATTTCGGTCCATGATAACTGGAATATATATATACGCACACAAACACACACACACACACACACACACACACACACACACACACATATATATATATATATATATACACTAGTTTAGGGTTTTAGGGTTAAACATATATATATATATATGTATA